GTTGAACTTACTTTTGTGATTGAATCATCAATTCAAGCCAAACATTAATCAAATAGGAACAATTTCACTCAAAGTATACCTAGACACAGGAGAACTATTGTCGTGAAAGTGTTGTACAGTCGATTTTTATTCTAACAACCTACGGCGGGTGGAAAGTATTTTCACTGTGGTAGTAATACATGGCCAATAATGTAGATGCTCTTTTCTTTGTCATTGTTGTTGCATTATTTTGGGAAGTACGTGGTCTGTCCTCCGTACGTGTAGTTTTGTAGTCTGAAAGGACCTGGTAGTACGTGTAGTTTTGTAGTCTGAAAGGACCTGGTAGTCACAAGAAAACAACTGGCAAAACGAAAATATTGAAATTTGTGCCGTGTTATTTTTACAAGAACACGAAAGACATTGAACGATGGCCGCTGCGAGAATCGCATGGAGAAACTACATTCGAGATGTTCTCAATTTCTTTCAGGATGAGGCACAAGAGACTGTTATTGAACAGGGCTTCAGTTCCCCTGCTTTCTTTGCCCGCTCGACGCGCAAAAATATTGATTCCTTGGTGAAGCAGATCAATCGCACTGTGATTGATCCAGGAAATGATCCTGACACCACGTTTTCAATCAACCAAGCCCAGAAAATCATGCTCTACGACCTTTGCGACTATTGCCGATTTATTATTTGGTGGATCGCCAACATGATCCAGCTTTTGGGACACAAGCAAATTTGGCAAAAATCAATCGCTATTATTCCCACTTGAAAAACAAGTCGAACAAATTTGAAGATATTTCAGAGGTTATGCCTCCCAAATTTGATAATAAAAATACGGTCAAACTGATGGAGAGCTTGGAACAGTGGTTGAAGCGCAATTGCGGAAAAGGTGGCACTTTGTTAACATATGTGATCCGTGAGCATCAAAATCCGGACAATAATCCAACAGCTGATCCTGGTTTCCTTATGCCATCTGTGGAAGATGAGGCAATTCGTCAGAGCTTGCATCAAAGGACCAGTTTGTCGCTAATAACAAAGCTGTTTGGAATATGTTATATTCGGTATGCCATGGAACCGATGCTTGGCCTGTTATGAAGGGATACAAGACTACAGAAAATGGAAGACAAGCGTATCTTGATCTGGTTGCCCACTATCAGGTTGAGGGCCAACTCAATAAGAGACGCGACTCTGCCTATCGCATCTTGAATACGACCCACTACAATGGAAAGAAGAATTTTAGTTTTGAAAAATTTGCGGCACAGGTTCTTGGTGCCTTTGAAGATTTAAAAAATTATGGCGATGGCATGTCGGAACATGCCAAGGTAACCAAGTTCTTGAGCATGATCAAAGAAGGCCCGCAGGGCGCAGGCGAGGAAGTCAAGCATGTATGCAAAACCTGCGCACGGCTATCAACACTTTGCAGACTGAAGATACGGCCCAGCAAACTCATCGCTTAACTGCGATTAGCGGTACAAGAGCCTTAGCTGCGGTCGATGGTGGGGGGACGAAACTCCAATCGCGGACATGGCCGTGGTAGTGATCGTGGTGGTCGTAATCGTAATTGTAATCAACATGGACGTGGTGGGGGTCGCGGACGAGGTGGTAGTCGCGACCACGATGGTACTGTATGGTCCGATGATGGCACGACCATCCTCAACAACAGTGGATACTCACAAGACACTTGGAGCCGTTTCTCTGATTGTGATCGCCGTGTTGTCCTCCAAGCCCGTGAACGTGCTAACAGTCGTCTTTGCGGAATTGAACACTTTGCGTGAACAAAATCGTGACCGCCAACAAAATGAAGAACCTGCACCAACACCAGCTCCAGCACCCTCCTCTGGCAACGTTGGTAGTGGAGTTCGACGTGGCCGTCGCTGACATGAGGCCGACTATCAGATTCGTGTTACTTGTTCCCTTTCCTCTTGTGTTTGTGTTCTAATGTCCCTTTCCCACTCCTTGCCCCAATGTGAGCTTGACTCACACGCAGATACTTGTGCTTTTGGCGAAAATTGTTTGGTTCTTGCATCCTATCCCCATACCTTGACAGTAAAAGGCTTTGATCCTTTGCTCGGCAGTGTGCCTAACGTTAAAGTTGCGAAAGTTGCAGTTGCTTATGATTGCCCTCTGTCCCTTGAAACGTATATCTTGATCTTTGATCAAGCATTGTACATCCCAACCATGAAAAGTAATCTCCTTTGTGTTGATTATTGATGAAAACTCGGGATTACATATCCTGATGGACTTCCTAAAGCCTATCAGCTTCTTTGCTTGTCGCAAACCTGCGCTGTCTTATGTCTCGGTGGAAATGACCACTTCCGTCCCTTGGGACCCTTATGACCTGGAATCCTCTTGCATCAAACAAAATCTACGACGTGAATATCAAGGGGACATTGCCACTCAACAAATCTATTCTGTTGTCCGCTCTGATCCCAACTACCGCTCTATTTGCCCACTCGCTCTTCCTATCGCTTTAGGGGACAGAGTTGAGGCGACCATCAATAGTGTTAAATCCGATGGCAAGAGCTATTTGGTCAAACCTGAACAACTTGCGCGAAGATGGCGAATCAGCCTTGAATGTGCCCGTCGCACTCTCAAGAAAACAACCCAGCTCGCTTTGCGGGACTGGACTAAAGTCAAAGGCTCAAGACCATTTGGCCCCACTCAATTCCAACTTGAATATCCTAGGTTGCGTGCTGACATTTGGGCCGATATCAAACAAGGCCCCTGTGTTTCTGCTGAAGGAAAGAAGTATGTTGCTGTCTATGCTGCTGCCTGTCAATGGGCCCGTGGCTACGCTTTGAAGAAAGAATCTGAAGTGAGCAACTCGCTCAAGGAACTTTTTCGTGATATTGGCTTTCCAAGAGTTCTCCGACCTGATGATGCTCAATCGTTGACTGCTGGAGAATTTTGAAGAGTCGTAAATAAGGCCCAGGTTCCAATACATCCTAGCGAGCCTTACAATCCTGATCAGAACCTTGCTGAAGATTTTATTTGTGAAGCAACAAGAATGTATGTTCGTTTTATGACAAGAAGAGGGATCCCAAAAGCGTTTTGGGATCGAGTCTTTATCTATTGTTTGGAATTAAGAAGTCACATGGCTCTTGGTCACTCTCGACAAGGTGATGACTGTGGTGCCGGTTGGATCTCCGGTAATACGAAAGATATCTTGCATCTGGCTGATTTTGGTATCTATGATTGGTGTTTGGCTTTGTCCCCGACACACTCCAGTCAAGAGAATAAGCAATTGTGTCGTTGGCTTGGACCCAGTTTTAACATTGGCGGATCTCTGTGTTTTGCATGTGCCACTTCTTGTGGAAAAGTTTTACGGCGTTCAAGTGTGATTCCTCTCTCCAGAGAAGAGCGGGATAGTACAGATATCAAAGATCTGAAAAAGCGTTTTACCGAAGACTTGCATAACTGTTTGAAAAACTCTGACCCCATCAAGATTGATGAT